GTCCTGGTCCTACCCACACCCATGTCACTTACCGAGGCTGGAGCACTAGTTCTGCACACAGGGTTACAAAGCTGGAGGGTTTGAGAGCCGACCCTTCATTGTTATTTTTGTTTACATTTGTAGCTGAATTGACGGGGCTGAGCCTCCTCCCTGTCTGGACCTTCTGCGCACTTCAAAACTGAAAGTACCAAAGTAGCGGGAAGTTGAAGTACCAGTCTGTGTCCCTGGCTGGTTGGGGCAGAGCAAATTCCTGTTACTTTAACAGCCCCACCCGCAGGGCACGGAGCTGGTGGGGGCAGTTTGCCGGGTGAGCCACTGTAGGGGTGTCAATGTCCCCCCCACACACACACACACCAGCTGCTGTTCCTGCTCCCCAGGGATCACTGGATTCTCAGTAATTCCCCTGCCCAGCACAGTCTGCCACAGCTTTGTCTGGCTGAGAAAGTAAAGCAGCAGCAGCAGCAGCAAAAAGCACCAGCCAGTTCACAGCCTGCCACACCCCTGCCCTGGGTGGAGGCAGAATGGAGGGACGGGGGGGGGGGGAGTGCTGCGTGACTGAGTGGGAATGGGGCAGGAAGCAACAGCTGATCTATGGTAAGAGCAGGAGATCAGAACGGACTGAATGTAACTTGAACTGCTCAGCTGTAGCTAGCTCCGCTCCTGCAGGTGCTCAGGGGAGCAGAGCCTGGGGGGGGGATCAGGGCAGGCAGCAGCTCAGGGGGAGGGATAGCTCAGTGGTTTGAGCATTGGCCTGCTAAACCCAGGGTTGTGACTTCAATCCTTGAGGGGGACATTTAGGGATTTGGAGATTTAGTTGGGGATTGGTCCTGCTTTGAGCAGGGGGTTGGACTAGATGACCTCCTGAGGTCCCTTCCAACCCTCATATTTGATGATTCTATAACTTGCAGAGCCCTCCCCCCCCCCAGCACAGCTGGGCGAGGAGGAGCGTTTGTGCAGAGTCACTTTCCTGCCTGGCTCGGGTCTCTCCCCTCAGCTGCAGGCTCAGGGGCTGGTTCCAGCCACCGCAGAAAGTCCCCTCCCCCCCCAGGGAGTGTAATGGCCAAGTCTGAGTGTCAGTGAAAGCTCCATTGCAATTGACATACTACACTACGCTGACTATGGTGAGAGACTGTGCCACACACTCTCAAAGAAACTGAGGAACCACCTGATCAGCATCCTGTGCAGCAAACAGGAGAAGCTCAACAATGAGCTCTCAAAACTGGAGACTCTCATACAAAACCAATCTTCCACGTCGCTGGACTTTACAAAAATGAGACAAGCCATTTACAATGCACACTTCACTTCTCTACAGAGGAAAAAGAACAGTAAACTATCTAAACTCCCACATGCCACAGGGGGCTACAACAGTGGTATCCTCAACTCACCTAACAATATTGTTAATCGATCCAACCACACACTTAGTCCGGTGGAAGAGTCTGTCCAATCTCGGGGACTCTCTTTCTGCCTCACCATCCCCAGGAACATGATACAGTTCTGTGGAGATCTGGAAGCCTACTTTTGTCATTTCTGACTCAAGAAATATTTTCAACACACCAATGAACAGTGGACTGACCTACAGGAACCCTCCTACCAACACTACAAGAAGAAGAATTCTGCTTGGACTCCTCCTGATGGTCGAAATGACAGACTAGACCTCTACATAGAGTGCTTCTGCAGACGTGCACAGGCTGAAATTGTGAACAAACTGCATCATTTGCCCCATAACCTCAGCAATGCCATCCACAGCCTCAGAAACAACTCTGACATTATAATCAAAGGGGCTGACAAAGGAGGTGCTGTAGTCATAATGAACAGGTCAGATTATGAACAGGAGGCTGCCAGACAACTCCCCAACACCACATTCTACAGGCCACTATCCTCTGATCCCACTGAGGAAAACAAAAATAAACTACACCATCTGCTCAGGAAACTCCCGGCTACAGCATGGGAACAAATCTACACAGACACACCCCAAAGTCCTGAGCAGGGGTATGCTATCTGCTACCCAAAATCCATAAACCTGGAAACCCTGGACGCCCCATCAACTCAGGCTTTGGCACTCTTACAGCAGGATTATCTGGCTAGTTGGACTCTCTCCTCAAAGCTTACACTCCCAGCACTCCCAGCTATCTTTGAGACACCACGACTTCCTGAGGAAACTACAATGTATTGCTGATCTTCCTGAAAACACTATTCTGGCCACCATGGCTGTAGAAGCACTTTACACCAATATTCCACATGAGGATGGACTACAAGCTGTTAGGAACAGTATCCCTGATGAAGCCACAGCATGCCTGGTGGCTGAGCTTTGTGACATTGTCCTCACCCACAACTATTTCAGATTTGGTGACAACTTGGACCTTCAACTCAGTGGCACTGCTATGGGTACCGTATGGCCCCACAGTATGACAACATTTTTATGTCTGACTTAGCACAACGCTTCCTCAGCTTTCGTCCCCTAGCGCCCCTCCTCTACTTGCGCTACATTGATGACATCTTCATCATATGAACCCACGGAAAGGAGGCCCTTGAAGAACTCCACCTGGATTTCAACAATTTCCACCCCACCATTAACCTTAGCCTGGACCAGTCCACACAAGAAATCCACTTCCTGGACACTACACTGCAAATAAGTGATCGTCACATAAACATGACCCTATACCGGAAATCTACTGACCTCTATACTTACCTACATGCCTCCAGCTTCCATCCAGGACACATCACACGATCCATTGTCTACAGCCAAGTCCTAAAATACAACCGAATTTGATCCAATCCCTCAGACAGAGACAAACAGCTACAAGATCTTTATCAAGCATTCTTAAAACTATAATACGCACCTGGGGAAGTGAGGAAACAGATTGACAGAGCGGGACGGGTACCCAGGAATCACTTACTACAGGACAGGCCCAACAAGGAAAATAACAGAACACCACTGGCCATCATGTACAGCCCCCAGCTAAAACCTCTCCAGCGCATTATCAATGATCTACAACCTATCCTGGAAAATAATCTCTCACTCTCACGGACCTTGGGAGGCAGGCCAGTCCTCGCTTACAGACAACCCCCCAAGCTGAAGCAAATACTCACCAGTAACTACACACCACACCACAAAAACACCAACCCAGGAACCAATCCCTGTAGCAAACCTCATTGCCAACTCTGTCCCCACATCTACTTTATTGACAACATCAGAGGACCCAACCACACCAGCCACACCATCAAGGGCTCATTCACCTGCATGTCTACTAATGTTATATATGCCCTCATGTGCCAGCAATGCCCCTCTGCCATGTACATTGGCCAAACCAGACAGTCTCTACGTAAAAGAATAAATGGACATAAATCGGACATCAGCAATGGTAACATGCAAAAGCCAGTAGGTGAACACTTCAATCTCCCTGGACATTCTATAACAGATTTGAAAGTAACTATTCTTGAACAAAAAAAAACTTCAGAAAAAGACTTCAAAGAGAAACAGCAGAACTAAAATTTATTTGCAAATTTAACACCATTAATTTGGGCTTGAATGGGAGTGGGAGTGGCTGGCTCACTACAACAGCAGCTTTTCCTCTCCTGGAATTAACACCTCCTCATCTATTATTGGGAGTGGAC